TATATACAGGGGCTGGTGCTGTGGCTTGCTTGGTTAATCCTCTGCCTGTGGCGCCGGCATCCCATATGGGCACCGGTTCTAGTCCCGGCTGCTCCTCTTCCAGTCCTTCTGTGACCAGGGAGGGCAGTGGAAGATGGCCCAGGTGCATGGGCCCCTGCACCTGCGTAGGAGACCAGGAAGAAGCACCTGGCTCCTGGCTTCGGATCGGCACAGTGCCGGTCATAGAGGCCATTTGGGGAGTGAACCAACAGAAAGAAGATCTCTCTCTGTCTATAATTCTACCTGTCCAAAAAAAAAAAAAAAAAAAGAATATGTACAGGTGGCACATCATCAGAGAAACACAAATTAAAACCACTTTGGTAAACCACTGCACACCTACCGGAATGGCCAAAATTCAAAACACTGACAACTTCAAATAATGCTGAGGATGTGAAAAAACAGGAATTCTCATTCATTGCTGCTAGGACAGTTTGGTGATTTCTCCTTATCACATGATTCAGCAACTGTATTCCTTGGTATTTACCCAAATAAACTAAAAACATACATGCAAATCCACACAAAAATCTATGCATGGGTATTTCAGTTTTATTTAAAATTGCCAAAACATGGAGGCAATCCTTTAGTAGATGAATCAATAAATAAAATTAGTACATTCAAAGGAAAATCATCCAGCACTAAAAAGAAATGAGTTATGAAGCCATGCAAGGACAGGGTGGAAGCTTAAGTCCATACTATTTAGTGAAAGAGCTAGCCTGAAAAAGCTATATACTATACAACTCCAACTCTATGAAAATCTGGAAAAGGCAAAACTGTGGAGACAGTAAAAGACCAGTGCCTCCTAGAGTAAGGAAGGGAGAAAGGGAAGGAGGGAGGGATAAATAAGCAAACCAGAGGATTTTTATGGCAGTGAAAATTGTTCTGTATAATACCATAATGGTGGATGGATACATATCATTATATATTTGTCCAAACCCCATACCAAGAATATATTAATATAAACTATGGACTCCAGGTTATAATAATGTGATGTGGGTTCATTAATTCTAACAAATACCAGTATGTTGGGGGATACCGATAGCAGGAGAATCAATGTATTTGGGGGTATAAGGGCATATGAAAACTCTGCATTTTCTTCTTAATTTTGCTGTGAACCTAAAACTGTCCTAAAAAGAAGGCTATTTTTAAAAAGTTTCAATTGTAAAGAAAACTAATAAAAACTGTGTGGAGAGACATCTGAATACATCAGAGAAGAAAAAGAAAATAAAAGCACAATGGGGGGGCAAGCACTGTGGTGTAGCAGGTAGAGCTGCCACCTTCAGTGGTGGCATCTGATATGGGCACTGGTTCAAGTCTCAGATGCTCCACTTCTGATCCAGATCTCTGCTATGGCCTGGGAAAGCAGTGGAAGGACTTGAGCCCCTGTACCAGCATGGGGACCCAGAAGAAGCTGCTGGCTCCTGGCTTTAGATCAGCTCAGCTCCGGCTGTTGAGGGCATTTGGGGAGTGAACCAGCACATGGAAGACCTCTCTCTCTGCCTCTGTGTAAATCTACCTTTCAAATAAATAAAAAATAAATGTTTTTTTAAAAAGCATAATGGGATACTACTATGCTATTTATAAGAAAATCTGAAATTCAAATGGCTGCATACCAAGTTTGGTAAGGATGTGTAACAACGTAACTCTTCACTACTGATGATGTTCACTGTAAAACAGTCCAACCACTTTGGAAAACAGGTGGGTGGTTTCATAAAATTAATCACACACCTACCATACAATCCAGACATTCCACTCCCAGCTATTTACCCAAGAGAATGGGAAGCATATGTCTATGCAGTTTTATGTTCACAGCAACTTTATTTGTAGTAATCAAAAGATAACAGATACCTTAATGGTGGATGAATAAATCAAACCATGGTATATCTAATTCAATGGAATACTACTCAGCAAAAGAAAGCAATGAAACATAAAATAGTATACGCTAAGAAGCCAAATCTACCCCCTCAAATGATATTATATGACAGATTTCATTTATTTAAAACTTCTAGAAAATGCAAACTAATCTATAAAGAAGAGCAGTCACCTGGGAAGGAGTGGAGGAAACTTTCTGGCTGGGGTAGATATGTTCATCACCTTGGTTGCGGTATTTTCATGGGTGGATAAATATGTCAGCTTACCAAATGTGCACTTAAAACATGAGTAACTTAAGGTATGTAAATTATACCTCAGGTTTGATAAACAAAACACTTAATAAGACACTGGTGAAGCCCTCTCTGCTTCTCCCTTCCCCCAATTCACCTGTCTCCACAACATTTATACTGAAATAGAGGTTTTATTCCTATTCATGTTTTTGTACTGAATATATAGCTCTGAAACCATGAAAAAAACAGACAGTTCTGCTTTATGTATGCTGAAACTTTATATACAAAATATCATCCTGTACCTATTTGGAAATAAACTTTTTTTTTTAACTTTTATTTAATGAATATAAATTTCCAAAGTACAGCTTATGGATTACAATGGCTTCTCCCCCCCATAACTTCCCTCCCACCCGCAACCCTCCCCTTTCCCTCTCCCTCCCCCCTTCCATTCACATCAGATTAATTTTCAATTCTCTTTATATAAACTTTTATCAACATGATTTTAAAATTTATTATTGTTAAAAAATGTAGGCTTTTCTCATTTTATTAGTGAATATAACATAATATTTTTAGTGTATTTTTTTCAACTGGCAATCTCAATTGTATTAAGTGTAAAACCATGGCATTTGGCTGGCGCCGCGGCTCACTAGGCTAATCCCCCGCCTTGCGGCGCCAGCACACCGGGTTCTAGTCCCGGTCGGGGCACCGGATTCTGTCGTGGATGCCCCTCTTCCAGGCCAGCTCTCTGCTGTGGCCCGGGAGTGCAGTGGAGGATGGCCCAAATGATTGGGCCCTGCACTCCATGGGAGACCAGGATAAGTACCTGGCTCCTGTCATCAGATCAGCATGGTGTGCCGGCCGCAGCAGCCATTGGAGGGTGAACCAACGGCAAAGGAAGACCTTTCTCTCTGTCTCTCTCTCTGTCTACTCTGCCCGTCAAAAAACAAAAACAAAAACAAACAAACAAACAAAAAAAAAAACCACAAACCACACACAAAAAACCATGGCATTTGCATCAGATATAGCATGATATGTACTAATATGTGTATCGTGATATAAAATAGTATAGAGATGCAATTTAAACAATTCAGTCAATACTAGTTACCGTATTCAAATTAAAATCAAATCTTTTCACAATAATTCACTTTGGGCACGGGGATAAGAGATATGAGATGAGAACTGTACTTACTTGAGCTTACTTGTGTCACTATCTGCAGAACTCCCCAAAATATGATAATATGCTAACTGTATTCAGATCACACAGACTATTACATATGCACATACATTTGTTTCTGTCCAAAGACTGAGTGAAGAAAGACTATCAGACACTGAAGAGCTAAATACAAATGGAAAAAATAACAGTGCAATTCAAGAGCTGTCCAAAAATATAATAAGAGTAGGTGGCACTGAGGTGGGGATACTGACAGTTTATCTGTGGATAAACTGGCTCCTTTAAGTAACAACATGGAGGAATCAAATATCTTTACAGGTTATATGAATGATTCCTCAACTGAGAAATTTATGCCTAAAAGGAATAATCAAATCTGGGACTCCTAGTAATAACAAAGTATGGACAGGTACAAGAAAGCTATTCATATTTTATAGACAGATTCCTCTTCTCAATGACAAGACTGGAAAGCCTAACACCGTCTTGGAAAATGGCGGTCCAACTTTGACAATTCATGGCTAATGGTACTATGTTTGCAATTCCTTTACTGTCTACTTCAATAATTTAATAACCTGCGGCATGTGTCTAAGGACAGAAAAACAGAAGTAACTTATATTTGTGGTGACAAAATCCAAACTAGTATTAAGTCAAATCCACAAGGAAAAAAAAAAAAATCTGCCCTGAATGTGTCTTCAATACAGCTAAACCAGGGTCAATGTCTCCACATTAAATGTTAAGTAAACTCATGGCAGTGAGAGGTTTGCATCTTTAATACAGGCACAGCAATGTCCAATCATTCAAAAGTATGTAGGTTGTGGTGAGGGAGAAGTGACACAATCCCCACTGCATGCTTCATGGGGATATTACTCAGAATTGTACAATATGTCAGTCCTGAGGAAGAAAACTACAGAAATAATTCACATGGTATTGGTAGGCTTATTTTAAAAAGTTAATTATTTATAATTAAAATATTTATAATTAAAAACAGTATGACAAAATAATAAACAAAATGGATCAGTTATAGAGGCTTAAGTCTTCAAAGCAAACCAGGACACACACAAACTATAATTGTGACATTATAGGTAACACTTTAAATATTTACATATCTTAAAGTTTCTGTGGGTCTCTGATGTGACATTTAAGCTACTCATTTGATGTCACCAACCTTGAAAATAACTTCATTCACAATACCCTTTTAATGGAAAATTCAATATTATTTCTTCAAAACCTAAGCAAGAAGCTAACCTCCTTTAGTGACAAAAATGCTAATTAAAATATTTTATTTTTAACCATAAATACTGTTATTTATTTTGTAATCTATGAAAGTAACAGTCCCAAATTCTCAAGTCTGTGACTATTTCAATGACATGGTGTTTGTTCCAAAGTCATCATAATTGGGATATTTATTAATCAATTTAAGTTTTTACAGGTGTAAAGGGTTTAAAAGATTTCTTTTCTATTTCAAATGACACATAATCTGTCTGAGGTTTTGTTATGGATTATAATAGCACTCCTAGAATCTAACAAGCACAATACTAAAATTATCTAGACTGGTCAGAAAGAAATGGAAGGCCAGGAAAAACTGGATTTCCTATCAAATGCTTTAACATTTCATGGCTGTAGATTTAAGGATTCACACTGATAAAACTAATATTGTAAAATCAAGTATTCATTTAAAATTATCATTTACTTACATCTTAGCACTTCAACAATCAAATCCACATCAGTACTGAGTTTCTTGATATGGTCAAGGTTAGCTACCGTTGTAATTGGCACATACTGATCACTATCCATCTGTGATATAAGATACATGTCACTAGCAAGATTCTCCCTGTTGAAAGAAAATAATCTCATTTAATTGATATTCTTTAAAAGGAAGCTTCATTAATAACAATATTGGTTTTACAAGTGGTATGAGTGTGGTAGGATATTGCTTTGGAGTAAATCTAAGTCCAATCCCCATCTGTTATTTGCTGTCTCTCTAGCCTTAGGCAAATATTTTTGAAAGACACTTGGTGGGGCCAGCGCTGTGGCATAGTGGGTAAAGCTGCTGCCTGCAGTGCCAGCATCCCATATGGACACTGGTTTGAGTCCTGGCTGCTCCATTACCGATCCAGCTCTCTGCTGCGGCCTGGGAAAGCAGTGGAAGATGGCCCCAAGTCCTTGGGCCCCTACACCCACATGGGAGACCCGGGGGAAGTTCCTGGCTTTGGATCGGCACAGCTCCGGCTGCTGTGGCCAATAGGGGAGTGAACTAGCGAATGGAAGACCTCTCTCTGCCTCTCTTTCTCTGTTAACTCTTTAAAAAAAAAAATCTTAAAAAAAAAAAAAAAAAAAGAAAGACGCTTGGTGAGGCAGAGAGAGCAGAAGTAAAAGCATACTGCACTTCATGTAATCAAAATTAATAGCAGGTAATTCTTTTTAAAATGCAGTTATTGGGCAGGTATTGTGATGCAGTGGCTTAAGCTGCCACTTGGGATGCCCACATCCCATTATCAGGGGGCCTGGGATTGAGTCCCACCCCTCCTTGCAACACAGCTTCCTACTTATGTGCCTGGGAAGGCAGCAAATGATACTCCCAAGTAGTTGTTTCCTGCTACCCACAAGGGAGACCCCATTGGAATTCCTGGGTCCTGGTTTTGGACCAGCCAGGCTCAGCTGTTGGGAGCATTTAGGAACCAAGCCAGCAGGTGGAAGATCTCTTCCTCTCTCTCTCTCTACCATTCTGCCTTTCAAATAAATAAATTACTTAAAAAAAATTACAGTTCTACAGTTCACCTAAATAGTGTTTGAGCAGCTTATTAAAAATACATACAGAATTTTTAAAAGTAAGAAAAATCCAGCTGATAGGTAAGGAAAATATGAAAAGACCAGGATAAAGTCAATACCCCAATTGCATGCTGCTAATTCTGGAACACTTGCTAGAGAAGCTGCAAATCCGGCTCTGGCTTCCTAGTAGCCAGAATTAAAAAGAAGGAAACAGGATCAGTAAGTTTACCCACAGGGTCAAAAGGTAAGCCATAAATAATCAGCAATGTGGGCCAAGATGATCTATTTCCTGGTGTTTTGGCCAAAGATGAACAGTTCTTGTGAGTTTTCAGAAAAAGACAACGTGTGATGTATTGAATAAGGTCCCCATAAACATCTCAAAACTAAGTATACTTCTGGGCTTCATAGGACCTCTCCTTACAATGCTCCTCACAGTCATAGGGTTCAACAGAAACACTGCTCTGCCCCTCGTGTCCACTATCCATCTCTCGATGTAAGTGATTCTGGCCCATGAGGGGTAGATAAGGGGTTAGGTAGAGTGAAAGCTAGCATCTTTTGTCTGTAAACTCAGGGTTCCTAATTTGTGAGAGGAAAGAAGACCCAACACAGAGCCCTTTCCACCTAAGTTGCAGGCAGCTTCACTGTCTTTGATGAGTCCTTTGTCAGACACCACTGAGATGTTCAGGGCTCCAGAGAAAACACTTGAAGGAGTCGTCATTTTTGATAGCCAACTTTATATGTGGCCAATCAGTTACCTTTAGACCCCCCAAAAATTACATTTAACTCAATCCTATCTTCCTGTATATTCTGGCTTGCCATTTTAATTTTAAAGATTCTACAGTTTTCAGGGCCAGTACTGTGGTGTAGTGAGCTAAGCCCCTGCCTGCATGCTGATCCAGCTCTCTGCTGTAGTCTGGGAAAGCAGTAGAAGATGGCCCGAGTGTTTGGGTGCCTGCACCCAGGTGGGAGTCCTGGAAGAAGCTCCTGGCTCCTGATTTCAGATTGGCTCAGCTCCGGCCATTGAGGCCATCTGGGAGACTGAACCAGCAGATGGAAGACTTCTCTCTGTCTCTCTGCCTCTGCCTCTCTCTAACTCTACCTCTCAAATAAATAAACAAAATCTTAAAAAATAAAAAGATTCTATAGTTTTCAACATAAAAGGTATTCAGGAGAAAAGAACTAAAAATATGAGTGCTATATAAATAAAACAATTGGCTACTGCAGTTGTCTGCTGTATTTTGAGAAATGATGTAAGGACATCTGTTCTCAAACATTAGTGACACTGAAGCTTCTAAGACTCAATCATCAGACACTGTGATTCAGTGGGTTTGGAGTGTGTCCAGGAATCTGTTTCAAATGGCAATCCAGATAATGATCATCAAGAGGGATTTACTTTCTCAACCTTAGTGGCCACTGACTTGAAGACTATGTTTGGGTCTCCAACGTATCAAGAGGTTATTATTACTTAATATTCTAGAATTGATATTAACAGATATACATAAGTACTTCTACATAAAACGTCATATTTATATGGAATAACCAACGGATAACATCATAGGTAGTAAGTACCAGAAAAATCACTACCAGCCTTACCTAGATAAACAGAATTCCAATGTTTTTTTAAGTACTTCTCGAGGGTCTTCCTGGCTTTCTGGTTGAGTTTCATTTCCTCCTGTATAAAATAATGATCTACTCAGGAAAAATGGCTTAACATTTACCAGGCTGATAATACAGTAGAGCAATTCTAATGTTTTCAGTATACACCAACATACTTAGAAAAATGTATAGAGAATAAGAAAAATGCTATTATTTTACTGAGTAAAAAAAAGTAAATCCTCAAAAAGGATTTTCAAGTAACTTTCAAGAACATATGTACTACACAATAGTAAAATTTAAGGGAAAAAATCAAAACAAGGGAAAGATAAATACAGGCAAAAACCCAAGCAGATCATAAACACCACCTAGTCTCTATGCCAGAGCCTTAACTCTGTCTTTTAATTTCTAGCTAGTCAGAGCTACACGTGAGAACCTGTCATGTAGCCCTTATCAGGGAATACTAAATAAGCCCAATCCCCAAGAGGAAGGAAACAAAAGCTAGTTCTAAATTCCAGAGGATATTTCTTTTAAGAAGATGTCAGGTGATGTGTGCACCTGTGGCCATAGGCAGCACCAGTCAAGAGACCTTGGGCCTCCAGCAGAGTGAAAGGGAGCTCAGGCTAAGCCCTGAGTGCTCTGGATGCTCCATGAACAGGTATTTATATAAATTTATAAATGAGTGGCAGTGAAACATTCAGAACAAAATTTTTTTTGTATCATGCATGGGTCAGATTAGTCTTGTATATTATTTATCTTGTATTAGTACTTGTATTTAGAAGTTACACACTATGAAAGGCAATGTGTGGGCAGTTAGAACAAATAAGGGTGGATAGAACAAATATGAGAATTTCTGTCAGTATTGTATAATGAGCTTCAAGAAAATCCATCTCCACTAGAAAAAAGAAAGCACAACTGCTGAAACAACCAAAAATCAAAAAAACAAAACCAAGATACCTGACGAGAATGAAAACTGCAAACACAACCCAATGTCATTCCTTTATTCACAAGGGTTCTCCTGATCATCCTATTTAAATTTACATACCACCTCTTATATTTAGTACATATTTACTCTGAATCTCCTATATGATGGAAACTGTTGCAGGCACTGTGAATTTGGCCTAAATAAGGCAAAGCCTCTTGCTCTCATGAGGTCAGTGTTCTAGTGGGAGAGGCACATAGTAGATAGGTAAGAACTACAAATATAATATCAGATAGAAACCAATACACAGGAAAACAAACCAGCATAAGAGGGCAGAGTGGCATGGTGCCGTCTTGGACAGGAGTTGCCAGGTGATCTGATGAAAAAGTATGACAATGTGGAAAGTCCATTCTAAGTGGAAATGTAGAAGGCACAGGGTCCTGAGGAGCGGCCTGTGAGGAGTAGGGTCAAGAGGCCAGCAATAGCTATTGGGGCAGTAAAGATACTGCTTGAGATGATCGCATCCCAAATTTGTGTGCCTGGGTTGGAGTTCCAGCTCCACCCCTGCTTCCTGCTAACACACACCCTGACAGGCAGCAGGTACTTGAGTCCCTGCCACCTTGTGGGAGATAGAATTGAGTGTGGGTTTGTAACCTCATGCTGGCCCAGCTCTGGCTATTGCAGGCATCTGAAAAGTGAACCAGTGGAAGGGAGACTTCTGTCTGTCTGTCCTGGAGTTTTCTTTTTAAGAAAACTTTCAAATATGGTTTCTTCTTTATGTAAAGTAATTCAGGTTTATTTCTTCTTGAGGGAGCTTTAGCTATACATATCTTACAAAGACAGATCATTCAATATAATTTAATATAAATTGCGGAATTTATTCTACAGAGTTGCCTTTTTTTTTTTTTTGACAGGCAGAGTGGACAGTGAGAGGGAGAGACAGAAAGGTCTTCCTTTTTTTTCCAGTTGGTTCACCCTCCAATGGCCACCATGGCTGGAGCGCTGCAGCCAGCGTACCACGCTGATCTGAAGCCAGGAGCCAGGTGCTTCTCCTGGTCTCCCATGGGGTGCAGGGCCCAAGCACTTGGGCCATCCTCCACTGCACTCCCTGGCCCCAGCAGAGAGCTGGCCTGGAAGAGGGGCAACCGGGACAGAATCCGGCGCCCCAACTGGGATTAGAACCTGATGTGCCAGCGCCGCAGGCGGAGGATTAGCCTAGTGAGCTGCAGCACCGGCCCAGAGTTGCTTTTAATTCTCTATTTTAACCCTTTCAATACTTGTAGAATTGGTAGTTATATCACTCATCCCTTTTATTAATTTGTTCTCTTTGGATCAATCTAGGTAGATATTTGTCAACTTTATTGATCTCAAAGAAATGTTTGACTTCATTTTTTTTCCTGAATTGTTTTACTGTTACCTATTTTCATTGATTTTCCTTTTGTCTTATAATATGCTTTCTTCGGCTTTTGTCTATCCTTTTCCAGGATCTTAAGGTACAGAGCTCATTGATAGTGTAGATCTCTCTTCTGTCTAATACAGTTGGTTTTATTAATTTCCCTCTAAGCACTACTTTAGCAAAACGATACAGAAACTCTACCTAAAAACTAAACAGAAGGAAATTATGTCAAACAGAAAACCGGAGCCTAATATCCCTCATGAACACAGGCACCAAAAATCTTAGTAAATTTTGGCAAGTCTAATCCAATGGTAGGTCAAAAATGTATTCTATTATGACTTATACAGGTTTATTCCAGGTGGATTTAACATCTGGAAATCAATATAATTTGTATTAACACACTAAAAAAAAAAAGATCAAATAAACAACCACCCTCATAGGTGACAAACTCCAACAAATTCATTCCTGATAAAATCATAGAGCAAACCAAGAATAAGAGACTACCTTATCTACAAGATAAAGGGCAGAGACATAAATCTATCATTAACATCATACTTACTGGTGAAATACTGGAGAGTTTCCCAGAAATATCAGGAATAAGTCAGGTGTTTGAACAAACTTCTAGCCACTAATTCTGGTCAACTTTGAACTGGAGGGTCTTCCCAGTAATCAGGGAAGACAAAGAAACAAAAGGCACCCACACTGGATAGGAAATAAAACTGCTCTCATTTGGGGCTGGCATTGTGGCACAGATTAAACTGTCACCTGCGACACCAGCATCTAATATGAGCACCAGTTTGTGTCCCAGCTAGTTCACTTCTGATCCAGCTCCCTGCTAATAGGCCTGGGAAAGCAGAAGATGACCCAAGTTCTTGGGTCCCTGCCACCCACATGGGAGACTCAGATGGCACTCAGCGTTCCTGGCTTCATCTTGGCCCAGCCTCAGCCTATGGTCATTTGGGAAATGAACTAACAGATGGAAGATCTCTCTGTCTCTCCTTTTCTCTCTGTAACTTTGCCTTTCAAATAAATAAAATAAGTCCTTATAAAAGAAAACACAAAAATAAAATAGCCTTGACTGCCAAAAACAATCCAACCATCTGTATGGAAAATTCAGTGTTATACACACAAAAAAGTTCCTAAAACTAATAAGTAAACTTGATTAGTTTTTGTGATGTGAGATCAATATATTAATTATATTTCAATGCAAATAGCAAATGATTTTAAACAAAAGTATAAAAAATCACTTATCACAGCAAAAAAATATGAAATCTGACAAAAGACATGAAAAAATCAGTACAATGAAAACCTAAAAATACTATTATGCTGAGAGAAATTAAAGAAGACAAATGAGACTGTATTAACAGGTATTATTAAATGTCAATTTTCTCCAACTGATCTATACACCTCATGAATCCCGATAAAAATATCAGCATCTTGTAGATACGCACAATCTCATTCTAGTTTGTACAGAAATGCAAAGGAACTAGAATAACTAAATTAACTCTGAGAAATAACAGGAAAGTTCTTATTAACTTATTTCAATAATTTTTTATAAAAATCAAAACAGTGTGGTCTTAGACTTAAAAGATACCAACAGATTAATGGAATAGAAGAGATAGTTCATAAATCAACACATCTATACGTGAACAAATGATTTTTGAAAAAGGTACAAAAGTGATGCAGTTGAAAAAGAACAGACTTGAAGAAATGGTGCTGCAACAGTTGTATATCCACATGCAAAAATTAAAATGTTGAACTATAGCTCACATTATATATAAAAATGAACTTAAAATCAGCCAAAGACCTAAAAATATAAAAGCTAAAACAAACAGGAGAAATCTATTGTGATTCTGTATTATGGAGATAACTCTTAGGTATAACATCAAAAAGAAGATCTAAAGAAAAATAAATGACACACTGAGCTAAATGTATTTGTGAATTACATTTGATAAGAATTTGTATATTAAGCATGTAAAGAAAGAACTGTCAAACTCAGCAACAAAACGACCCAGTAAAAAATAAGCAAACAAATATAACAACAAACAAGATAAAAGTATAGGAAAAGATGCTCCCAAGAGTGACGTTTGTTGTAGCAGTTAGTACACAGCTTAGGACTCCTGTATTGCATGGAGTGCCTGGGTTGAATCCCAGACTCCACTCCTGATGGCTTCCTGTTAATGTGCACGAGGCAGCAGGGGATAACTCAAGTATTTGGGTCCCTGTCACCCACAAGGGACACTTGAACTGAGTTCTTGGGCTCCCTGCTTTGGTCTGGCCCAGCCCTGGCTGATGTAGGCATTGGGACCAACAGATGGGAGACCTCTCTATCCACCTTTCAAAACAATAAATCCAATGGGGGCCAGCACTGTGGCGTAGCAGGTTAAGCTGCAGCCTGCAGTGCTGGCATCCCATATGGGTGCCAATTTGAGTCCCTGTTGCTCCACTTCCAATCCAGCTCTCTACTGTGGTCTGGGAAAGCAGTGGAAGGTGGCCCAAGTCCTTGGACCCCTATTCCCAAATGGGAGATCCAGAAGAAGCTTCTGGCTCCTGGCTTCAGATCAGCACTGCTCCAGCCATTGTGGCCAATTGGGGAGTGACCCAGCGGATGGAAGACCTCGCTCCCTTCTCTGCTTCTCCTTCTTTCTCTGTGTAACTCTGACTTTCAAGTAAATAAATAAATCTTAAAAAAAATCCAAATGAAAAAGAAAAAAGGAAGAAAAGATGTTTCAAATTCTGTTTCCATAGCGAGGAACTGGAA